AATTTTAATGATACTAAGAAGGGTAAAATTGGTAAATCATGATTTTTTTATAAATACAATAAAATCAACTTACATATGTGTGGTTTTTCTGTGTGATTTGGTTAAAAGTATTTTATAATAAGAACAAAAGAATAATATATTTAATAACAATAACAACTTATGTATTAATTTTCGTAATTATACAATTATTAACTAAAATATCATATTATAAACTATTTTAAATATAACTACATATTTATAAAACTATTACTTTTAATTACTCTTATTTGTGAAATATATTTTAAATAAAATAATTTTAAAAATTGATCATAGTAATATATTATGAAACACTGTGAAGGTGCTTGTTATTTTATTAATTTAAATGATCATGTGTTTAGTTATTTAATTATTAACGATTTATAAATTCTTATGAGTTTAGTTGGTTATGAGTTGTTTTGAGTTGAGGTCAAAATTGGCCAGGTTTAAGGGAGGATATATAAAGTTTCCTTAGAACTTAAACTTCATAAATGCATTTTGTAACAGCCCAAGCAACCCGCATGAGAATATTGTCCGCTTTGGCCCACGGCCTCACGGATTTGTTCTCGGGAATGGCCAACACCACCCCAAAACGCGTCCTCAAGAGTAAGGTATCCACACCCATATATATGGCATGCTTCGTTCACCTTACTAGCCGATGTGGGACTTCACAATCCACCCCCCCTCGGGGAGCCCAGCGCCCTCGCTGGCACACCTGCCCGGGTCCCGGCTCTGATACCAAATGTAACAGCCCAAGCAACCCGCATGAGAATATTGTCCGCTTTGGCCCACGGCCTCACGGATTTGTTCTCGGGAATGGCCAACACCACCCCAAAACGCGTCCTCAAGAGTAAGGTATCCACACCCATATATATGGCATGCTTCGTTCACCTTACTAGCCGATGTGGGACTTCACACATTTCCATAAGAAAACTAGATAGAAGTTAGAAAGATTTTTTTGTTCTTCTTCTAATTCCATGAGAGCATTTTAGAATCCTTCCTCGAAGTTAGTTGAGTAGTTGAGTTGAAATTTGAAGCTTTGGAAGTTAAGGATCGAAGTGTTGGTGGTCTCATGCAGGAAGCTTAGAGTAACCCCATCTTACATTCTTCTACCTCTTTCTTGGTGATTCGAGGTAAGAAAAGCTTTTTGTTTAATAATTGTTGTATTATTGTTGTGTTTTCTTTATCAGGATTCATCATTTTATAACTTTATCATTGAATTGAGATGTAAAACAAGGATGAGTTTTGAGCGTTATATGCTCTCTTGGAAGAAAATGGTGATCTATGGCCCTTTTTATGATTGTTTGTTGGTTTTATTGCTAAAATGTAACTAGTAATGATGTGTAGCTATGTTTTCTTGTACTGCATGTTGGGTTGAGGCAAATTTTTAGGTGATGGGAGCTAAATTGCAACTCTGCCAAGTGTAGAAATCGCCATCACGTTGGATGCAACTTCATGGTGTCGAGCGTGAGGCAAGACAGAAGCTCTTTGTCTCATTGATGTCGGATGTGAGATTGGTAGCATTAAGAATGAGTCAATTGAGAGCTCTTTAACTTGTCCAAGCTAGGCGTGGGTTGAATGTCAATGAGCCTAAGATGAATGGCGTTGGGCATGATTAGGTCAATAGCTCCCTGCCTAGATGATACCAAGTGCAAGTTTTATGGCACTAATGTGGGTCAGGTAAAGGCTCTCTACCTGAATGACGTTGGACATGAGTTTTGTGATTCTAGGCGTGTTGTACATAGAGACTCCTTATCTCATTCATGCTAAGCACAATTGGAATGACACTAGGTGTGGGCGAGCCAAAGGCTTTTTACCTGACCAGTGCCAGACACAAGTTGAATGGCACCAGACATTGGTATGTTGAATGAAAATCTTAAACTTAGTTGATTTTAAATGTTGATTTATGATGATAGTTGTTTCATATGATAATTTTATGAGTTGAGTAAGTTGAAAGTTGATTAGTAGTAGAGTTGTATGATGATAACTTGTATAGTGTTGAAAGAAGTTGTGTAGTGAATGCTTGATGCATGTAGTTGTATTATGTTGATTGACTTAGGAGTAGATGAAAGGTGTTGTTTTAACAGATGAATATCCCATTATGAGGATATGATGTTTTGGTGCTTTGAGAGACTAGTTGTTGAAAAAAGGTTTTTGAGTATAGTTGTCTCTTAAAGTGGAGTGTTGACTCTTCTCTAGGTTCTTAGTTGATATTGTATGAGAGAAAGGTTGAACCATACTGGTTTAGAAGTGACAAATCAAGTAAGGTACAAGGTTGAGGGCCAAAATCCCTAACTATGTACTAGAAGGGGCAAAATATTTGGAGGTTAGTTAGTGAACTAATTCCATATAGGCTCAATTATGTATGTTAAGGCAATGGGAGACTCACACCCAAGCTATTCTATCCTTGGTAGGAATACTAGACTTTTTTAGCCTAAGTGGTGAAAACTGATAAATCATATTGTGTTGTAGATTTGGTATCCAAATTTTGTTGTTGATCTAACAAGTCCAATAAAATCATGTTGTTAAGTTGGTTTAGTAAGGTCAAACTACTTAGATTGTTCAACATGTTGTAAGAGATCTCTTAGTTGATATGTGTGACAATGCATTGAGTTGTAATTAATTTGTTGCTTGGTTGTTAGGTGATTAATTATATTGTTGATAAGTTGTGTTGCTTATGTGTTATGTTGACATGTTGAAGAATGTTAAGTTGAGAGTTGTATTAAATGTTGAGCTATTGTGTTATTTCTATAAAATGTTGCTATGTTGAATAGTTGTTAAGTCGGCATGATAGTAGGTTGTCTAGTATTGGTGCAAGTTGTGTCAATGTACTGTTCTATGTGTAGCTAAGTTGGGCATTAAGTTTTATTCATGTTTAATTGAGGTTATGCTTTACAGTGTTGATATGATGATATTGATAGTATAGTTGCAATTTACTTATATATTGTTGTTTTGTCTTCTATAAGCTTACCCTTATAATTCCTTATTGTTGGACTGCGATGATCATATTTATATAGGAGCATGGAGAGACTTGGCTGCTGGAGTGTCATGTGTAAATGAAGCTTCTTTTGTTAGTGGCTACTTGTTGTACTTGGGGTTCATATTTTCAGCCTGAATTATTGTATTAATATATGTGTGTACAATTATAGTTGTATTCCCACGGAAGGATTTATATTTATGTCTGCTGCTTATAACATTGAGTTGTAAAGTATAGGATTTGTGAAGTCAATAAATGATATTTAATGTTCTGATTAATATTAAAATTATGAAAATTAATATTTAGTCATCAAAATTAAATAATAAATAACATTAATATAAAAAAAATTAATTTTCCATTAAATATAATTGAATTCATTAATTTTAATTACATCTAATCAATAACAATTGTAAAATTGAAATTTTACCCAACATCTAATATTTGTTCAAGATTCTTTTACATATATTTGGATAACTAAATTAAAAAGTACACTGATATATATATATATA